CCCGTCTCTGTGGCAGGGCAATCCCCTGTGTTCTCTCTCTCCTTTTGGGTGTTGTGGTCTGCAAAAGAGGCATTGAGTGGCAAACATGTTCAGTCCATAGTCTACTTTCGACATGCATCTCCCCTCCTGGGAGGATCCTCCAAACATCCTTTATTTGGTGCTCCCTTCTCTATCTGAATAGCCCTTTCCTCTAGGATACCCGGCTGGCCTCTAAGTTATGGAGTAATCCTCCTGGTGCTGATCTCAGCTATTCTTGGGTATTAATCTCATACTTTGTTACTTTATATCCCCCAGATGAATGCAATCTTTCTATGTCTATACCTCTCTTTCTGACTCATTTCGCTTAGCATGATACTTTCCATATTGTACCACTTGTATGTAAATTTCATGACTTCATCTTTTCTAAGAGCTACATAGTACTCCATTGTGTAGATGTACCAAAGTTTCTTTAACCAGTCATCTGTTCTTGGGCATTCAGGTTTCTTCCAGTTTCTGGCTATTGTAAAGAGGGCTGCAATGAACAAACAAGTGCAGATGTCACTTCGACTATACATTTTTGCCTCTCTGGGATATATTCCCAAGAGTGGTATTGCTGGGTCAAATGGGAGCTCAATTTCTAATTTTTTGAGAATCGTCCATACTGTTTTCCAGAAGGGCTGAACCAGTCGGCATTCCCACCAACAGTGAAGGAGTGTCCCTTTCTCGCCACAACCACGCCAGCATCGGTTGCTTTTGTTCTTTTGAATGTGGGCCAGTCTCTGAGGTGTGAGATGGTATCTCATTGTGGTTTTGATCTGCATCTCCCTGATGATTAATGATGTAGAGCATTTTCTCATGTGCTTTTTTGCCATTCGGATTTCTTCTTTGAGAAAGTTTCTGTTCATTTCATTGCCCCATTTTTGGATGGGGTTGGATGTTTTCTTCTTGTGGAGTTTAACCAGTATTTTGTATATCCTGGATATCAACCCCTTGTCAGATGTGTAATCGGTGAATATCCTTTCCCATTCTGTAGACTGTCTTTGTATTTTGGTCACTGTTTCTTTGGAGGTGCAGAAGCTTCTTAGTTTAAGATAGTCCCATTTGTCTATCTCTGTTTTCACTTGCTTGGCCAGTGGCGTGGCATCTTTGAAGATACCATTAGCTTCAATGTCATGGAGGGTTTTGCCAACTTTATCTTCAATGTACCTTATGGTTTCTGGTCTGATGTTGAGGTCTTTAATCCATTTTGATCTTACTTTTGTACATGGTGTTAGGCAGAGTTCTGAGCCTATTTTTTTGCATGTAGCCGTCCAGTGATGCCAACACAATTTATTAAAGAGGCTTTCCTTACTCCACTTCACATTACTTGCACCTTTATCAAAGATTAGATGAGCATATGATTGAGGAGAGATGTCAGTGTATTCAACCCTGTTCCATTGGTCTGCAGTTCTGCCTTTGTTCCAGTACCATGCTGTTTTAATTATTACTGCTTTGTAGTACAGTTTGAAGTTCGGGAGGTTGATTCCTCCCATTTTCTTTTTCCCAAGAATTGCTTTAGCTATTCGTGGGGGCTTATTGTTCCATATAAATTTCAAGAGTGTTTGCTCCATTTCTTTGAAGAATGTCATGGGTATCCTTATAGGGATTGCATTGAATTTATACAATGCTTTCGGTAGTATTGCCATTTTGACAATGTTAAGTCTCCCGACCCATGAGCAGGGGATATCTTTCCATTTCCTCATGTCCTCTTTTATTTCCTGAAGTAGCGTTTTGTAGTTTTCTTTGTACAGGTCCTTTACTTCCTTAGTTAAGCTGATTCCTAGGTACTTGATTTTCTGGGGCACAATTGTGAATGGGATTGTTTTTTTCATGTTGCTTTCTTCTCTCTCACTGTTTGCGTATAGGAAAGCCATGGACTTTTGGGTATTGATTTTATAACCTGCAACTTTACTATACGAGTCTATTGTTTCTAAGAGTTTTTTGGTGGAAGTTATTGGGTTCTCTAAGTAGAGTATCATATCATCTGCGAATAGTGAGAGCTTGATTTCTTCCTTTCCTACCTGAATGCCCTTAATATCTTTTTCCTGCCTAATCGCTATTGCAAGTACTTCCAGTACTATATTGAACAGCAGTGGAGAGAGTGGGCATCCCTGTCTCGTCCCTGATTTTAGAGGGAAGGCTCTCAGTTTTTCCCCATTGAGGATGATGCTTGCTGTAGGCTTGTGGTAGATGGCTTTAATTATGTTGAGGAAGGTCCCCTCTATACCCATTTTGGCTAGGGTTTTCATCATAAAGGGGTGCTGGATCTTATCAAATGCTTTCTCTGCATCTATTGATATGATCATATGCTTTTTATCTTTTCTTTTGTTGATATGGTGGATTATGTTGATTGATTTCCGAATGTTGAACCATCCTTGCATCCCTGGGATGAATCCTACTTGGTCATGGTGTATGATCTTTTTGATGAGTAGTTGGATTCTATTTGCTAGTAGTTTGTTGAGGATCTTTGCATCTGTGTTCATCAGGGATATCGGCCTGTAATTCTCTTTCTTTGTGGTATCTCTGTCTGCTTTTGGTATCAGTGTGATATTTGCTTCGTAGAAACTGTTTGGAAGTGTTTTTGATATTTCAATTTCGTGGAAAAGCTTAAAGAGTATTGGGAGTAAGTCCTCTTTAAAGATTTGTGTTTATTTTTTTTGTGTTTCACTCTCTGAGAGTAAACTTGTCTCATATATACATATATAGAAATAATCACACATATATTTATCTATATGTATTACTGTGTAAACTCAAAAAGACGGCAGCGGTCTATCTCTCCCGCCGCCGACGTTCGGTAGTCTCACGCCAGTTCCCCCACCCCGGGGAGGTCGATGACAATGGGCAGGCGAAGGAAAGAACGAGGGCCAGGCTGGTTGGTCTTAGTTGCAGTTTATTCCAATCCTCTCTCCATTCACTCCTGTCTCTCCTCTGCCTCCCCCATGCTACTTCATTCTCCTCTTTGATCCCCCTTCATTCTCCTTCTGGCTCTGAAATCTGGATCTGGATTCCCCTTTCTCCTTCTCTTCTGGAGTCTGGATTCTGATTCTCCAGCCCACTCTTACAGTCTAGTTATATTCCCCAGCATGAGGGGTTGGGATAACAATTACACATAGGTGTGGTCACAATCAATAGGGGTAGAGTTCTTTTCCTCGGGGAAAGCCACTTCTAGGACAGAGTCTCATTAGCAGGTCGACCCACCCTAGAGGGGAATCCCATGAGTGGGTTTCTCCTCTCCTTGTCCAACAAACATGTAAGCATTCATAATGTTAATCATTTTGTATGGGCACAGTAAGAAATACATTAAGCTTATGGAATTGCTCTTCTAGGGCCACCTCGATCTCAGACTACAGTGCTCAGGCCAGATAGTCTTTCCTCTCCCTAGCAGGGTCCTAATCTCATCGTTACTTTTGGATCATGACAGCATTTGTCTATGATCAAGCTCTTATAGTTAAGAATTGTGGCACTTTGGCCTGGCCCATTTCGATGCCAGGGTAGCTCACCGCTTGCCCTGGGTCCATCCAGTCCCTCGTCGGGACCCTGCTTTTGGGGTGTTAGGAACTAAGGGCAACTGAGGCTTAAGTCGAGAAAGCAGATGCCCAAGAGTGAATAATATTCAAAGCTAATTAAATCCTAAGTTATAAAGCATAATATTAACTGTCTTCCTGTATCTATACAAAAAGGAGATTGCTTTAAAGTAAACTATTCAAAAGACAGAAGGAGAGGAGAAAGGTAGTATTTCACTCAACCACGATCACGACCACCCTGTTGTTCGTCGATTGCCTTGAGCAGGTGCCAGTAACGTCTTCTTCGTCCTAGCCCTGAGATTTTTTTTTTTAAAGTGCCATATTCAAGGCTTTTTCAGGGTTAGGAGAATGAGACCCATCATTGTTACTGGTATTTGGCATATTGGGTATACCACGGGGAGTTTGCCAGACTCTGCCATGTGGGCATGTTACATTTGGTAGCCTGCCAGTTTGACCAAAATAGGAATGAGATGATAAGATGAGTGTGATAATCTCTGGATCCTGGCCGTTGTTGGAGTTACACGGCAGTTGGTAGGTGTAACTGTCTAGTTACTGGCAGGTCCAGTCCCAAACTGTGCAGGCTTGGAGATCTCAGCCCCAGGTCCCACACACCTGGGTTCCTCTGTCAGTTCTTTTATGCGTGAGGCTCATCCAAGTGTGTGGAGAGTGCTCCCAGCATGGCCTTGGCTGGGCCTCGGTGGTCTTCAGCTGTTGGGCCCTGGTGGAGACAGTCAGGCATAGGGTAGGAGACTCTGCCTATTTCACTCATACATATAAAATCATAGATTTCTGAGGAATCGGACCTTACAAGTTAACAGAGTCTGATTAGGGGGAAAAGTTGATTAACTGGTTGGGGAGGAGAGCATAGGAAAGAGTTTACAGATAAACACAATGGAATGAAAGAGCCTCAATAAACCTGAGTTCCTTGTGGCAAGGGAGGAAGGACAAACCAATGTTATCCTACATATTACATATGGAAAAATATGATTGAATGTCATGTTGGCCTCTTTAGTATCTTTACAGAAATAAATCATTACAAGGGATAAAAATTGTTGTGGTTTGTGTTCCCACTGTGCTTAGCCCGGTCACAGGCACACTTCTCTTTCTTAGGGCCCCAACTCTAAACTTTTATTTTTTGGTAATTGTTTGTTTGTTTGTTTTGGGGGCCATACCTGGTGATGCTTAGGTGTTACTTCTGGCTCTGAGCAAGGGATTACTCCTAGCAGTGCTCAGGGGACCCTATAGGGTTCTGGAGATCAAACCTAGGCTGCCGTGTGCAAGACAAGAACCCTGCCCACTGTGCTATCACTCTGGCCCCCAGCTCTAAATTTTTACAAACTGGAAACTTCTAGGCAGAAGACATAAAGAGTTCGATATCATTATTTCCACTTCCAGCCAACATACTGAGACCAGGTGTAGTCAGAGATATGTATTTATTACCCATGGTGTACATCTGTCATTCCCTTGTACCCATTTTCATATCCATCAGGACTCCAAGTCCCCATGGAATTTTCTATGTGGTTCTCATGGGGGAAGGATAGAAGAGTTGGCCTGTTCAGCTGTTCCTGGACACTGAGCAGAACGTTTGTCTTTTTTGGGGAAAGGTTTTACAAGCAGCTTCTCATTACCAGCCCCGATGAAGAGGAAGGAGATGTCTACGGTAACTCCTTGGGGATTGGTGGTTAGATCCAGATTTACAGGGAAGGCCTCCACAGGAGCCTTCTGGGAGCCTTTGGTCTTCTCATCATCCAAGTCAGGAAGGTTCTGGACAGATCCTTTTGAGGTTGAGGGGGTTGTGTTTTTCTGCTTGGGTTGCCTTGCAGGTTGCTGTTTTACAGAAGAGGTTTTACTTCCAAGACCAGCCGCCTGAAATAAGAACACTTTAGAATGAGGGAGTGTTCCCATGCGAAACCCTCACTGTGCCTAGTACCAGTCTAAGCTGTGCTGTTCCTTCCTGGTAGAACTTTTCAAAGAGAAATCACCTATAAGAATTGGCCTTTGACTAAAGGATTGAAAATAGACAGAGAACCAAGGAGACAGTACCCAGGCAGGGTTCATGCCCTGCATGTATTACATTGGGGTTCTCCAGTACCTCATGGCTCCCTGAGCACCACTGAGGTGTTCCTGGGAATTCCTGGCACCAAAGAAGAGCACTGTATCCTTGAGCCCTAGTATCAATGGAACATTCAATAGGCAAAAAATAACCAGGAGTGGCCTCTGGATCCCCTGAGCACTGCTTGGGAGCTTCCCTCTTTAAAAAAAAGTAAAAGAGAAAAAGGCCAGGGTGAACCAAAACCTGCTAGAATCTGATGGCAAGTCATGTGAACTTAAATCTGAACAACAGTCCAGAGAGGACAGTGACCTGGTCCAGGTCCCAGTGAGCTGCATCCCTGCTCCAGTAGAGCCATGGCAGTCACTATGTGATGGTTTCTGCTCTCCCAGGTCACTCAGCCTCAACACTCAGGGCCTTGCACACTCTTTCCCAGGGATCTGCGGGAGGAGCTGTTGCCATCCCAGCTACCCAGGAGGCAGTTGAGACTCAGAGAGGCCGGATGTGCCATCGTCACACAGCTCTTGGTGGTAGAGCAGGACTGGAACCCAAGTTGCTGATGTCAACCTTCCCCCCAGCCTGATTTATGGGAGTGCTAAATAAATTCTTCTGCAAAAGGAAGGAATATTCCATACTGACATCTCCCCGCAAACATGTGATCATCTAATCTTTGAAGACTGCACTCATCTAGGGAATATAAAGTAACAGAATGGGGTTGAACACCCAAGAATAGTTAAGATAAGTACCAGGAGCTCTGCTCCAGGCCTTGGAAGCTGACAGCACATGCTGGGGGAAAAGGCAGCTCAGATAGAGAAGGGAACACCAAGTAAAGGATTTTTGGAGGACTCGCTTGGGATGTGAGATGCATGCTGAAAGTAGACTATAGACCGAACACGATGGCCACTCAGTACCTCTGTTGCAACTACAAGACCCTGAAGGAAAGAGTGAGCAAAAGGGAATGACCTGCCACAGAGGTGAGGTGGGAGTGGGGGATATGGGGTGTGGGGGTGGGAGGACTACTGGGATCATTGGTGGTAGAGAATGGGCACTGGTGGAAGGATGGATACTTGATCATTGTATGACTGAAACCCAAGCACGAAAGTTTGTAAGTCTACAACTGTACCTCATGGTGCTTCACTAATAAAAATTAAAAAAAGGAAGGAATATTATACCAGAACATGAACTTCTCTGTATTGGTCAGTGTGAGAGCTTTTGGAACACTGAAGTTTTGTCTCAGAAGCCTGAGGCATCCAAGTTAGTAGGTCTTTATTTGTGAAAGAGAGTAACTTATTCTGTGGGCGACATTGTGGTTAGAGCATGATAATTCTTTCACCATTGTCCTGTAGGTGTGGCTTTAGTACACCCTGAGTAAAGTAGTAATCACAGATTTTAGGAAAATAAAAAAAAAGATATAGCTGAAATTGAAATAAAAGAATGATAAAGAATTAGAAAAATACCTGTGATTTAAAGAAGTTGCAGTTCACGGAGATGAATTTTTCTGTCTGGATTTTAGTCAGAGAACCTTGGCAAAGACCAACAGGCTAATGAAACAAAACACAATGTTGTGTGAATATTTCAGTTATGATGATGATAAATGGAAGTCATTTTGCTTTCTGATTTATGTGGATATCTACCTGCCAACATTTCAAACATGCAAAAGACAAGCTCTGCTCCACTTCTGTTTAGATCATCCTTACCACATAGTTACCTAAAATGCATAGAGTTTCCTTCAATGATGAAAACTCAAGCTTTTTTAATAGGTCAACTCTGAATATTAGAAATTTGCTTTGGTGTAGAAACTGTCTTTTCATCATCTGTTTTGGGACTTTAGTTCTACACTTCTGTCAACTATAAAACATTTTTTTCAACTGTCATATAGCAGTTAATTAATGGGATGAGCCTCACGCATAAAAGAACTGGCAGAGGAACCCAGGTGTGTGGGACCCGGGGCTGAGATCTCCAAGCCTGCACGGTTTGGGACTGGACCTGCCAGTAGCTAGACAGTTACACCCACCAACTGCTGTGTAACCCCAACAACGGCCAGGATCCAGAGATTATCACACTCAGCTCCTGGAAGCGCGCGGCCGCATTTGCGGCTGCGTGACATCTTATCATCTCATTCCTACTTTGGACAAACTGGCAGGCTACCGAATGTAACCTGCCCACATGGCAGAGTCTGGCAAACTCCCCGTGGTATACCCAATATGCCAAATACCAGTAACAATGATGGGTCTCATTCTCCTAACCCTGAAAGAGCTTTGAATATGGCACTTTTAAAAAAATCTCAGGGCTAGGTCGAAGGAGACGTTACTGGAACCTGCTTGAGGCAATCGATGAACAACAGGATGGTCGTGATCGTGATATAGCAGTTATTTGTGTATTATCTACCAGAATTTTCTATTCTGGACAAAATTACTCACAGTTCCTTCAAATTCTTCTATTTTAAATATACTCATATTTTATTATTACAAATACAACAATTATTTAGAAGACATTAGCAAAAAAGAACCAAAAATTCATAAAATGTACCTGACCACTGAAACATTTTGATAACTTTTAATCTTGTTCTCTACATATTAATAATTTAAATAAAATAGGATAATCTATATTATTTTATAACTGCTTATCACTTAATATATTGTGAAAATGCTTTCTTAGTGTTTTATAATCTTGAGTATCTTTATATAAATGTTATTCTCCTCTGTTTTATTTTTAAACAAATTTTCCTTTATTGAATGCTACATTGAATCAAAAAAAGTTAAGACAGTAATAAAAACTGTAAGACATTAAAGCTCTAAGTTTTCATTTATCAGTAGTTTCTTATGGTAAATTTATAGGGTGCAGCTTGAAAGTATTCATAGAATATTATAACAAAATGTCTCAACTTCTAAAAGAGAACGCTTAAAAATACTCATTACTAAAGTGTATTTAAGTTGATTCCTTTTTATTAATCTATCAATTGTCTCTTAGCCATGGAAGTAGATTATAAATTCCTTAGGTAGAAAAATCCATTTATGTCATCTGCCCCCATTTCAGATACATTTTTTTTTCTTTTTTGGGGGGGATCACACCCGGCAATGCACAGGGGTTACTCCTGGCTCTGCGCTCAGGAATTACCCCTGGCGGTGCTCAGGGGACCACATGGGATGCTGGGAATTGAACCTGGGTCGGCCGCGTGCAAGGCAAACACCCTACCCGCTGTGCTATTGCTCCAGCCCCTCAGATACATTTTTAAGATAAAAGCCTGTTTAACTTTGTCATTCTGAAGATCAGTACAAGGAATGGAATAGCATGCTGTATTTCAAATGTAACCATCATAATCACTGAGGAGATTCATTTATATTTTATATCCTCCGCCCCTCTTGGAGAGCCCGGCAAGCTACCAAGAGTATCACGCCCGCACGGCAAAGCCTGGCAAGCTACCCATGACATATTCAATATGCCAAACACAGTAACAACAAAGTCTCCAATGGAGACATTACTGCACCCACTCGAGAAAATCGATGAACAATGGGAGGACAGTGACAGTGACAGAGATCCTCCTATGATCATTTCCTCCCAAAGGTATCATATGTTGATTAAATCACACCTATAGTCAAAAGAAAATTTTTTATTTTTGCAGATGGGAAGCATAATCTCTGGTTGCCACTGAGGAAAACAAAAATTATAATACCTTGAGGATAACATACTTAAAATATGCTCAATAGATGTATCTGATATAAAACCAGAAGCTGAAATTTTGAAAAATTTAGAAATACTCACCTCAGCGTTAGAGCTCTGAAGTGTACAGCGGCTGCCCTGGGATTTGGTGCATGGTGACTCTTTGATTAAATATTCCACAAAGTAGGCAGGGCCATTCACCCACTGGTATGAAACAAGAGTTGAGAAATAAAAATTACTCCTATGTATATGAAAAATGAGTTGGGTTTTCAGCATTATATTGACTAAAACCACATATTCTTAGAATAATTTTCATTATGGGTATCCTGTTTTTGTGATCCCCATCATCATCAAAATTTTGTTATTTTATTTATTTGAAAGGACAGTCACACCTTTATTTCTTTATTAAGGACAAGAATGGGCTCTAAAAACATTCCTTTGGGTGAGATTTTTTTTCTGACATAGATTTCTATTAGATTAGCTTTCCTTCAGTACAGTAGATATCAAAACCTAATACAATGAGCCTTAATTTCCCCTTAATTCATAGAACTCAACACTCACTCCAGACCTTAACAAGATACAGAGTGATGTTCTAAGTAATCCGTGTCAACCAGATGAGAAAGGGAACAGTTAATCTAAGCAGAACTAGCCCAAGAAGACTGGATCTATTTCCCTTCTCGCCTTAAGGCCAATGAAACAAATGGAGTCACAGACCTTGTGAAAAATCCATGGAATATCTCAGAACCAAAATATGATTTGTGAGCTAGCATGTCTCAAAAGGTAGAGAATGCAGAAAAGGCTGGTATTGGGCATGGTATGGGAGGCCTACAAAGAGGAAACAGTAATAGTAATTCTATGGTAAGCTAGGATACCTCGACAAAAACTGATTAAATAAAAGAATTAAGAAGTATCTCTTGAGTTGTTGTCAGATGACATTCTTTCTGTTTAAACCTGTGGCAGCTGAAATGAGGCACATCACTGGTGTTAGCAAGGGTTTTCAGTCTCACCTGGCTAGTTGCCTTGGTGACTTTGACAAGAGAATACTGCTTTGAGGCACTTTCACGGTTGTATTTTGCAAGAGATTCAGTGGCGGCTTCTAACACACTAGGATTTGACAAGTCACTGGGGCTGGGGCAGTCAGGACACATCATTTGAATACTTCTTCGAGAAACTGTGAATGCCAAAGAAAGCGTCTTAGCAATAAAACCCCTAAAGGATTCTCAGTCCTATGTGTATAATTATAACAGAGACAAAGATAGAAGAAGGGGCATAAAATACTCAGTTTCAATAAAGATAGAAAAAGATATTTGATGCAATAAAAGAACCATCAGCACAGAGTTTTCTGTAATGAATATGCATTACTTTCATAACTGGAAAATTAAGCAATGAAGCTCTACCCCATATATATACATATATATGCGCACTCAAATTTGGACCCTTAAAAACCATGGCCCCTCCGAGCACTACTGAGTTTAGCCCTGGAAGTTCTCTGAGAGTGTCATTAGCTTGCTCTGGTGGCCTGAGCACCACAGGTCCTGAGCAGCACCACATCACTGCACCTGAACATCAAATCTTTCAGACCGGTTAGCTGAGTAGCTCTGGGAATCACCCCAAGTTTCCCTGAGTACTTCTTGGGAACGCCCCTCCCCCAAATAGGAGAAAACTGGTCTAAACGTTGTTTCACAGAGTAAACACATTGTTTTCATTAATTATTTATCCGAGTGCATCTGGAGCCCAAGGAGATTATGGGGGATTGCTCTCACACTCAGCCTCTCCGAAACCTATTTGCATAGATTGTCTCATGGCCTCCCAAAGCATTGGTGCCTATGACAGCAGAGGAGGTCCTGACCATCTTACTGGTTGTTTTCTAATTTATTTTACCAACTCTCATCTTCAAAATCAGGAGCTTAAACTGTGACTCATAAAATATTTGCTCTATTCTCTTGTCCCTGAAAGAAACCAGAGGTACTAGCACCACCTAGAGGTTGTTAGAAATAAATACAGAATCCCAGAACTAGCCCAGGCCGATCAAATTAGTATATGCCTTTGAACAAGATCTTCCTGGAGACTCACATGCACAAAATCATTGACAAGCCATCATGTTCTATTTTCCCAGATCATGGTTGTTGCTCTCTCAAGCAGGACCCAAATCATTGCAGGTGCATATTTCAAATGCATCTTGCAAACCAGGGCAATGTATGAGGTCTGTGCTTCATGAGTGGTGGAGCTAAAGCTTTAGAGGGATGCGGCACAGGAAGGTGCCATTCTGTTCTTGAATATAGAATAGCGTGGCAGTGGCAGCAGATTTTCAAGAGATTCTAAAAGGATGGGCAAGAGAGCCAGGGACAGAAAATATCAAGGGAGGGAACCTCTGCAGAAGGAGTGGCTCGGCAAGAGTCACTTGGAAAGTATAGCGTGTGCTCAGAAAATTGCGAGGCATTCAGTGAAGGGGCACAGAGTGCACATAACCAAAGAAATACTGGCAGAAATGTCTTGAAAGGGAGCCAGGGGACCTAACCTAGGAGTTATGCCTCTTCTGTCAAACTTAAATTTTAGGAATTGATGCAGTGCACATGATGAGCTATTGTGATGACTTTGGAAGCTGAATTGTGAAATTGTGGAGAATAAAAATTGATTAACGATCTGGGTTTAGATAAATAGAAGGGCAAACTCTTATACATTTGGGTGCGAGAAGTTTAAATGCTGTCCCCACTCTCTTACTTAAATGAACAAAATTAGAGTTATTTCTTACCTGGACGAAGAGTGCAGTTATAAGCATGTGTGTAGAGAACTCTCTTTGGTTTGTTAATGTAAAATAATGCTTTGCATTGACCATAAACCTGAAACCAAGGAACACATTTTATAATGTACTGAAAGATTATAGCCAAAAACACTACCCCTCGATAGGCATTTGATTTTTATTTTTAAAATATTGTTTATTATTTTTACTTTATTTCTGGTTTTGGGGACATTTCCAGCAATGCTCAGGGCTTACTCCTGATTCTGCACTCCATAGACTTAGGGGACCTTAGGGGACCGAGTTGGCCTTATGCAAGGCAAGTGCCCTACCTGCTGTACTCTTTCTCTGGCCCCAGAAAAGATAATATCTTAATCAAACAGCTTCCTTCTTAACATAATTCTTCATTCCCATTATGCTTTCTTATTGATTAAAGAAATAATGTCAGGATAATTTGCAAATAAATATAAATAATAACCATGATTTTCTTTTTGGGTCACACCCTGCGATGCTCAAAGGTTACTCCTGGCTCTGCACTCAGGAGTTACTCCTGGTAGTGTTTGGGGGACCATATGGAACACTGGGGATTGAACCCAGGTCAGCTACATGCAAGGCAAAAGCCCTACCCACTGTACTATCACTCCGGCCCCAACCATTATTTCCAAGTCTCTTCCATGGCTATTATTTTAAAGGATTGATCCTGAGGTTCATTAGGTTCAAGTACCCAGGAAATAATTCCACAAATTCCTTCTTCTGAGAGCTCCTGTACTCCAAGTTTTTACTCTCTAGCTGCAAACATCATAAATACTCTTTTAAAAAAGCAAAATAAATCAAGTAGACTAGTCCTCCATTGTCACTCAGTCTGCCTTAAACATGTGCATAAAGTCCTTTACTGAAGATCTCATCCTCACAATTTAGACATTGGGGGCAGGATCTGGGAAGGTCCTGGAGATAGGAAACAATTTGGCGGCAACTTTTCATTTATTTTCTTCATATTACTAAAGAGACTCTCAAAATAACTCCAGCCCTCCAATTAGTTCACCTCTACATTGTCTATAGAATTGGGATTACCATATGGGTACCATGACCAGGAGATTATCATGTGACTACTTAGATGCCCCATGCTAAGCAATCTCACTCCTCAGGCAGGAAGTGTTTTTTCCCCACAGAGTCCCTGATACAGGCACTTACTGATTCATGCAGACTCCTCTTCTCACAGTCCTTTGAGGATTTCCCACTCAGCACATGGCACTCTGTCTCTAACACATCCAGGGTAAGATAGAACAAAGATCCCATACCATCAGCCTGTGGGCAGGGATGGAGAATTATAACACATTCCACATGAAACACAAACACAAAAAAACTAATCAAAGCAGTCTTTTTATTTTCTTTTTGGGTCACACCCAGCGATGCACAGGGGTCACTCCTGGCTCTACACTCAGGAATCACTCCTAGTGGTGCTCAGAGGACCATTATGGGATGCTGGAAATTGAACTCAGGTTGGCTACCTGCTGTGCTGTCGCTCCAGCTCCCCCCACCTTTTTCAATGGCATAGTCAAGCCATTGATACTTGTGAAATTCCTTCTTGACTCTCTAGAACCCTTAACAAGTGTCAAGTAGGATAACTATTAGTACTTGTCCCCAAGAACAGTCCCTGAGAACATTGCAGCCCAACTCAGCAGAGAAGAACAGACTTCTGAGCTGTCTCTTCAGTTTGGTTCCATATACCCCGCATGCCTCAGGGTTCCTTGCCTCAGCACCTGTGAGAAACTTGCCCGTCTAGGGGCCACTGCTTACCTGTCTCTGTTCCCAGGCATCGCTCACTCGGTTGAGGCTGAGTACATAGCCATCCTTCCTGTCCCTGTTGATGTCGTCCAGGGCAAAATCAGCAAAAGACAGCACATCCTTGTCATTGCAGCTGCGGGCCTGGATGGGGGATGGTGTGATAGCCTGCTGGGCTGGAAATGAAGCTCTGCAGCCTGCAGTGAGGGCGCAGAGCACCAGGGAAAGGAGCAGCATCATTCTGTGGGGAGCAAAGCTCAGGTCAGCGTGTGGACTGGCAGGCCAGATTGGTTGTAGGTGTGTGAAGCCATCTGCGTCTTTTATTACTGTATCTAAACTATTGATCAGGATTTAAAATCTAAACATGGATTTCTAGGAGTTAGTGCATTGGCAGGGTTTGCCAATATAACTAACCTTCAATCTCCCTGATGCTTTGATTTAACTTTTCTGCGCATGCGTGTGCTGTGTGTGTGTGTGTATGTGTGTGTGTGTGTGTGTGTGTGTGTGCATATAGATTCATGTTCTCTAACTTTTGATCAGGAGACATAGTAAACACATGGATCAAAGCTGTCAGTGAGTTATGATTGGATTCTCTTTGTGTCCAGGGCTGCATTTGAACCAGTGTCTGCAGGTTTAGCACAATTTCCTAAGTCCTGCAGCACTTGCCCTGCAGCTAATACCCATGTTGTCCTTGGAAACTTTAATAGTTAACTCGGGGTTGGTGTCTGGAATCCCAGCGCTGGTGGTTTTCAGACAGTTTACCTTTCCTGTCTCATTCCCAAACTCATTGTTCTCAACAGAGCATACAAGTAGGTATAACCCTTCCATCAGCTACGTGAAGCTCCAGGAAGTCCTAAGCTCTTTGGATATGTAACTTGAAAGTTCTGTTTGGCCTGATTTGGGCTTCTTAAAATTAATACTTTAAGTAAAAAAAAAAGAAAATACCTCCCAGAACTGGTAGGTCAACATTTTTGGAATCTCACTCTAAATCTACACTCCCTTCTACTGAGCTCTCTGGAAGCAAACTTGTTACGAAGTCAAAGCCCAATACCGTTGTTAAAAGATACTTATTTTTCAGGTGCAGGAATATCCATGAATGCTAATTTGGACTCTGGCTTTTCTCTTTTAATTTCTGCTGACCTCCCATTGTTCATCAATTCTGCTCAAGTGAGCGGGTCCAGTAACGTCTCCATTTTGAGACTTGTTGTTACTGTTTGGCATATCGAATAGGTCACGGGTAGCTTGCCAGGCTTTTCCGTGCAGGCGAGATACTCTCGGTAGCTTGCTGGACTCTCCAAGAGGGGTGGAAGAATCGAACCTGTTTTAGCCGGGCTGGCTGCGCGCAAGGCAAACACACTACCACTGTGCTATGGCTCCACCTTTGGGGTACAGATCCCCCAGCTGCTGGTCCCTCCTCTCCTGTGCTGTCAGCCACCCGTAGCAGAGCCCTCCCTTCCCCGCCGCTCTGTGGTTGCATGGGGGTTCCGCCCTCATCCCCCCAGACGTGGGAGGGGGGTGCCGAGCACGCTTGCTCTTTGTTAATTTCTGCTGATGTTCAGAAATATTCTATTGTTTGGAATGATACAAAACTCAACTATCTTCAAAGTCATTCTACTCAAAAATCAAACTCACTAAAGCCAAAAATGGAGGGACGCTTCTAGATTAGGGTACACAGAATATTCCATGGAATCCTGGACCACCAGACGAATTGCCCAGCCCACTCAGCCTCAGCCCCATTTTCCAGTTTTTGCATTTCCCCCACAATATCTGTGCTGAAATGAATGTAGGAATTGCTGCACAAAGATGTACAGTCTTATAGAGTCACTTTACATATTAACTCAGTAGTCTTTCTGGGGCTGGAGCGATAGCACAGCAGGTATGGCGTTTGCCTTGCACGCAGCCAACATGGCTGAGCCAGGTTCGATTCCTCCGCTACTCTCGGAGAGCCCATCAAGCTATCGAGAGTATCTCGCCTGCATGGCAAAGCCTGGCAAGCAACCCATGATGTATTCGATGTGCCAAACACAGTAACAACAAAGTCTTACAATGGAGACGTTACTGGGCCTGGTCGAAAAAATCAATGAACAGAGGACAGTGACAGTGACAGAGTCTTTCTGAAGGTTGGAGAAAAAGAGCGGATTCATTTAAGCCAAAATTTCCTATGCTCACAAAACTGAAGTTTTGCACCCTCTGGCCTGAACTAAATCCATCATGTTAAAGCATGATGGAAAGCAGTAGACAAAGTATAAGAAAAAATGTTATTATTTATGTGAATTCTAAACCTTTAATTTCATACTAAACTAAAAACAATGACTTGTATTGACATTAACAAACCAAAAAGAGTTTTCTCTACACCTGCTTAAAACTTCAGTCTTTGTCAAAGTAAGAAATAAGTCTAATTTTGTTCATGTAACCTATTGTGATCAAATTTAAATTACTGGCTGGGGATATGACTCATGTGGTGGATTACCTGACTGGCATGTGTGAGGTTCTGAGTTCAATCCCTTGCATCAAATGGAGCACCTCTTGGTGTAGCCTGGTGACCACTAAGTACCAACAGTCATTGCCTTGCTGGCTGCAAAGGCCTCCAGATCCAAGTTGAATAGTATTGGGCCTACACATGAACATTTAGGCCTAAAATATCATGCTGAACATCACCTGGTGTGGTCCCCAGACCCCCAAACTCCACTGACTGTGACTCTTAAAAAAAGTCACTCCTCATTAAAGTTGACTGCAAAATAGTTTTTTCTCTCTCATTTAATAACCATGATCTTGAAGTCTAAATAAATCATAATCTTCTTGAGCACATAATGATATAGATGACTTATGAAAAGCAACACTTAAAGTCATTTAGCAAATTCAATTAGCTTATTACCCAGATGAGAAAACAGAGCTTTAGGAAGATGAAGAGCCTATAAAAAAATCATCAGTAAATTAGAGACAGAATTGTTAGAGAAATTTTTGGTTCAGAATATTCTCATGAGAGTAAACTGTAAAGCAATAGCTTAATTTTTAATTCCCATTCATTCTAATAAGAATAAACAAATATGAGCTAACAATGAATGTGAACAAAATCACTATACATTTTAGCAACCAGATTTGTAAAATGGGCTACTTTCATTTATTTATTTTTTTGGTTCTTGAGCCACACCTGGTGGTGCTCAGGACTTACTTCTGGCTCTCTGCTCAAGAATCACTCCTGGACTCCTGACAGGGCTTGGGACCATAGGGGTGGGGATCAAACTTGGCTTGGTTGCATGCAAGGCAAACACCCTATGCACTATACTGTCTCTCCAGCTCAAAATGAGCTTCTTTTATCTTTGCACCTGCCTCATAGGAGGTCATGCATATGGAAGGCTGGAGCTGTGCTGGGCACACAGGTAGCTGTTGTGCAGGTAGAATCAAGGTAGTTTCTTGAAATTCAACCAGCGTTATTTAGATTTTTCTAGATTAATAGCTCTGTGGCAGGCTCTGCGGAATCAAGGGTTAACCAATCTAACTAAATAAGAAATAGTTCCACATTAATTTTTGGAAACAATATTAGAAGCTTAAGCTTCAGCAAACCAAACACAATGATTGATAAGCTTAATAAGGAAATCAAACACATGCTCCTTAGAGCTGTCAGACACTATCTTCACATATGAGCAACACTAGGATCAGAGTGGTGAAAACTAGAATTCAAATTCTATGTAACTAAAGTTTTTCTCTAGTTAAAAAATAAATAAATAAAACAGACATTCATAGAGCTTGAGACCTGTATGGAAGCAGATTGGAGGGTGGGAGATAGGGATGAAAAGTGCCAAGACAGGAGTGCAAGGTCTAAGATGTGAGGAAGGGGATAGCATGTGCAGAGGGGAAGACCATTTCTGCAGCTACAATGAGAGGCAGCACTCAAACAAACGGAGCAGATGGGATCCATTCAGCCTGGTTTGGCCCTGGTCATACTCCCCTTGGGTCAGCTCTCTGCTGGGGGTACCATGGCTGTTCCTCGGATCATCACCTGGTTTTACATTATGGTGAGCCCACGTGACTCTATTGTCACCTTTTCCCAGGTCCACCTGAATGGAACCAACACCAGGTGAGCCAAGTTAGGAGAAATAGGTGAGCAGGTCTGGAGAAAGGACCTCTTGTTCTTGAAGCAGACCAGGTGGTAGCAGGCTTCTTGCCTCCCTGGCGCAGGTGTGATCAGGTACCTTTAAGGACTATGAGCGTTAGACCAAGAAGAAATCAGGTAGGTGAGGAACTATTGGCTGTAGAGCTGGAAGGGGTGCAGTACACGGGACCCGAACTCTGAGAGTTATAGGAGTAGTTACCTAGCATGACTGGAGGGCTAAACCAGGAATGCCAAAAAAGTGGGCAGCAGCCTTAGCTGCAAAACCTTGAACTTGGCACTGCCCCTGGTCAAAGACCCCCACAGGAGATTTTTCTTTCTTCCCTTTCCATTCTGTTCCTTCCCTCCACACACACAGAACAATTCTCCCTATCCTGCCTAGCTCCAGCATAAGAAATCATAAAAAATAAGTGATGATTTTCTTAGGATGTGCCCAGCCCTGTGCCAAACACCTTGTGGTCCTCCTCTCACTTCAGACTCACCACCCACCAGAGTGGCAAGTCTCACAATCATTCCCAAGGTACGAGGATGGGGATGGAGGTGCACAGAAATGAAGTGGCCTCCCTGACCTTACAGTCAGGGCTTGCACTAAACTTCCATTGTTTCTTAGAGGAAGGCAAAGCCCAGCCCTCAATGAGAGGACACTTATGGAAGCAACAGAATGAGAAACTAGTTCTGCTGGGTCAAGAAAGGGTTTCTGGAGGGGGCTCTGGGTTGTTTTTTTTTTAAAAAAATTTTTGGGGGGGTCACACCCAGCGAGGCACAGGGGTTACTCCTGGCTCTGCACTCAGGAATTACTCCTGACGGTGCCAAGGGGGACCATATGGGATGCTGGGAATCAAACCCAGGTCAGCCGTGTGCAAGGCAAGTGCCCTACCTGCTGTGCCATCGTTTCAGCTCCTGGGTTGAGATTTGAGGGACAAACAGGCAGGTACCTCGTGGACACCGTAAGGACCATTGCCTTTCCAATTTTCTCCCTACCAAATGGATACCCACCCCATAGTAACCTCAGGTCAGCGTTTAGAAGTCTGTCTCTTAAGCACCCTATGCACGGAATTTTCTCTTTTACTAATCATATTTGGGCATTGTAGGAAAAACATCAGAATGTTGAGATTTTTCAGTATCAAAAAATAGTCTTAGAACCAATTAACCTTACAGTGTGCAGAGTGGGATTTCTTGTCTCAGATCGCTCAGGCACCGCGTCTGAGAGACAGTCTCTGGGCTCAGACAAGTTGGAATCCCAGCTCCGCCCCTGCCAGCTGTGTGATCAAAGGTGAGTTTCTTGCCTTCACTTCGTCGTGACGTCTTCTTTGATAAAATGCGGCCAATGGTGGGTCCACAGGATGGGTGTAAGGCAGCTGACATTCCACACCCAAATAAAATGCCTGGCACAGTTTTCCACTAAGGAGATTCCACTAAGTTTTCCACTAAGCACCTCACTAAGGAGATTCTGAGAAGTCAGAAGGCACCTTTGGCGAAGGTGGGTAGGCGCGGCAAGCCCACGTCTCATACTCACATTGGGGAATGAGATTGGAGGAGGTTGTCTCAGCTTGGCAGGTCACTTCTCCAGGGTTTGCAGAGCCCACGCAGACCCGCAGACACAAGCAGCTAATGGAACAAACCAGAAGCGAGCTGTTTCAGTGGAGAGGGAGACCTCTCCTGCGTCTCCCCGCCAGGATTTCACAAGCTTCCCTTCTCGCGGACCTTTTATACCCTGCGCACAGTCACTTCGTGGAACATCAGGCAATCCCCTGGTCAGGTCGCAGCTTCCTTTAGCGACCTGTCACACCTGGCTTACACCCTGGTTCCTGGATGAGAGGCGGGGTCTGGGGCGGAAGGCTGAACTTTAATCACCTGTAATCTCTTTCCGAGGACCTGCCTGGCGCTGCTCATTCCAGGGCTCTTCCAGTATTATGTCACCAATCCCTTCACAAGCCACTGAAAGGATACAGCCACTGTGCAGAAGAATGATTTTCTTTCCTAGAGATGCAGGTTCTCATGGGTTTCACTGCCGATGGGGGGTTTTATTGCAAAGTTCCACACTAAGTTGGTGCCCTTTGGTTCTATAGGGCACCATACTAGATGTAGAGAACCATTTCATCTCCTATGGGGAGCTTTTGTCTCTAGCAGCCGCCCTGAAATGGCTAGGATTCCTTACAAGCCACACCAGGCAGAGAGGGGGGAGCTGGGAGTCAGCATAGGTGCGTCTCCTATGGTACTCCACGGATCACAGAGACAAAAAGAATAGTAACTCTGCTGGGTGCCTACTGTGTACACTGAATGGGAAGTACAGAGCTTAATCTTCACCAAGCTTGTTGGGAGGTATCTTCATTCCCATGTGATGACTGTGTCACAACTAAGCATTTGTCTTTCCAACACCCTGTGTGTGGTAACATCTATCAGATTAATAGAACCAGATCTTGACTGCAGTACACATGCCCATGCAGGGGCTATAGGCTTGTCGCATTTTCTTGATGGGGGAGGTCAGCCCAGCGGTGTTCAGACATCCAAGGGCCACACCGAGTGACATTAACCTGTGGTTTGTACACTTTGGTGTTCAGGTCCCCATGGTGTGGTCCTGTTTTGCTCAGTGGTGCTGGGAGCTACCACTCGGGTCTCAGCCTCTCAGCCACCAGTACTCAAGGGACATCAGTACTACCCCAGTGATGCTCAGAGGGTCATGTGCTGTTGGGACTCAAGTAGAGGTCTCCCATTTACTAGACATGCCCTTTGAACTATCTTCTTGACCCTTGTCATATTTTCTTTCAGAAAAGCTCAGCTATGATTCAGTTGCTTCTTTTCTGAATTTGGGTGGAATGTTGGGGATTGATGACTCTGAGAAAGAAATAAAGAACAGGAGGGGCTGGAAAAATAGTGCTAGGCTCAAGGCCTTGCTTGTGACCAGTCATGGTTCAATCCCTGACTCCATATATGGTTCCCTGAGCACGGACATAATGATCTCTGACCATAGAGGCAGAAATAAATTCTGAATGCTTCTTTATGTGCCAACAAAACAAAACACACCAACAAAAGGAATGGTCTGAAGGGCAAGACAAATGGGAGGGGGTGGTCAAACTTAAAACTTCTAGTTATCAGATGACCAAGATCTGACTAATGTTGAGGATGGTGATATCATTCATAGTCTTATACTTGAAAGATGATAAGGAGTAGATCTTAAATATTCTCTTCACAAACACACACAGAGAAGGGAAAATGACATGGGAGGTGATGGCTGTGTTAACTAACTTTATTATGGAAATTATTTTCATGAAGAATGTATATCAAATGAACATGTGAATATTCAATTTGCATGCTGTTGAAATTTAATCATTTCTTAATAAAGTCAGGTGGAAAAGGGATAAAGGACAGCTATTATCAATTGGATCAAGGAGATGTGTTCAGTGGGCTACCCCAACAGTCTTATTGGATGAATACATGATAAAAATAAATCACTGAAAAATTTCCAGGAAAAGTTTCCACAGTGTTCCTTTCTTTTGTATAAACTTGAATTTGGAGGTCATGTAAATGCCTTATATATTAAAAACTATAAAATACATTCTAGAAAGCTAGAATTAGGTGGTGCAGGGGAAGATCAGAAATAAAATACTCACAGGAACAAAGAGTCTAAAGCCTGTATTTTTCACAGGCACAGTCAGACATGCCAAAGCAGGGGGGCGGAGAGAGAGTGCTAACTTTTATTAGCTCTTGAACACAGTTCTTTGAATACATGTCATGTGTCTAAAGAAAAGAGAAGTGCAAACAAAATTTGAACTCTGCTTACAGGTTTTATTTTTCCACAGTGGAAGAGGATAGTGTTTCCTGATACTATTTTGTGTGTTGCAACTGAGTGAATTCTATTGTTCTTTTGTTCTTTAGGAACCATGTTGTTGCTGAAGGAGAGAAGAAGTGGAAAGACAAGAAAAATTTTGTGTGCTTGGATTAGTAATAGAGGTTTGATATGCATTCATAATTATAAATAGATAACAAAAATGAGAACTGGACCATGAGAGAGTACAGAAAGCCCTTGTGCCAGGATTCAGGAAGTCTTCACAGGAAAATCAATTCATGTTAAAAAAAACAAAAACAAAAGGAATTGAACAGAAGAACACTTGATAGAGACTATTACCAAAATGGAAACAACCTCTAGGGAAATAATGATATTCCTTAGCCTACTAAATAAAAGAGCAAATAATAAATCCATACTGACACTAATTAAATAAGGAAGAAGGAAACTATCTCTTGCTGACATTAAAAAGAAAGTTACTAAGTGTAGAAGACAGAGTTAGAAAATAGAGTTGCCACCATTATTGTAAAAACTGATTCAGGCAAGAATTATCAGTTTATGATAAACTGCTGAATGAAAGCCTAATATTTATTTACAGATTATATATTACCACATGGTTATAATGAATGTTGACTGCTACTGCGATAAAGGGGAAATTATAATTACATGATCTGAGAAAAACCAGGAGTAAGCCCTGAGCACTGCCAGGCGACCCCCCTCCCCCCAAGAAAGAATTATTTTTTTTTCTGTACTGCATGTAGCTAACCTGGGTTCAATTCCTCTGTCCCTCTCAGAGAGCCCGGAAACTCTACTGAGAGTATCCCGCCCACAGAGCAGAGCCTGGCAAGCTCCCTGTGGTGTATTCGATATGCCAAAAACAGTAACAAGAAGTCTCACAATGGAGACATTACTGATGCCTGCTGGAGCAAATCGATGAACAACGGGAGGACAGTGCTACAGTCCTACGTAGGATAGAAAAGAGGAACACAATCCCACCTTAATCAAATGATCAGCATCACCAATATTGGAAGGAGATGCTATGTGTTTCCCCATGTGAGGCACTGACACAGGATCCCCACTCTGATCTTCCTAGGGGAAAGGGAGGTAATATCTGTGTTTAATCCTGGCAAAAGGTTAGACAAACCGGAACTAGGGAAGAACATTCTATAGAACAATTTGTTTGTGCTCTTCCAAAAGGTCAACTCATGAAAGACAATGAAATTTGAGAGAACTGTTCTAGATCAAAGCTCAGAACAAGAACTTTATAACTAAAAAAACTGTGATTTGGGGCTGGAGCGGTAGCACAGGGGGTATGAGTTTGCCTTGCACATGACCCGTATTCGATTCCCAGCATCCCATATGGTTCCCCGAGCACCACCAGGAGTAATTCCTGAGTGCATGAGCCAGGAGTAAGCCCTGTGCATCACCAGGTGTGACCCAAAAACCAAAACAAACAAACAAACAAACAAACAAAAAACCAACTGTGATTCTAGTGTACCTCTGGAGGAATCTTGGGAAAATAACAAGTGATTTCTTGAAAGAGTGTCCTTGTTGGCAGGAAGATATGCATGTGGAATGTAAATTGTATAATAGGATAAAATTGTTACATTTTTAGAATTCGATGTTTGGGCTGGAGCGATAGCACAGCGGGTAGAGCATTTGTCTTGCACGTGGCCGATCCGGGTGCTATTCCTCCACCCCTCTAGGAGAGCCTGGCAAGCTACCAAGAGTATCTCGCCCACAGGGCAAAGACTGGCAAGCTACTCGTGAGGTATTCAATGTGCCAAAAATAGTAACAAGAAGTCTCACAATTTGTTGTGAGATGTTACTGGTGCCCACTCGAGCAAATTGATGAACAATGGGAGGACAGTGCTACAGTGCTACAGATGTTTGCATGAGGAAACTTTGGTTCTGTAATAAAATGTGCTTTTTTCTAAGAAAAGACACATTGTATTTGGGGATGGAGAAGTACATTAAAACTAGAACTTATTCTTAGTTAGTTAGGAAAACAATGCTGTGAATATATGTACACATAGCAGAGAGACAAAGAGAAAGAATGTGAGAAAATATCAATGACTGAACAAGTGAGAATGTAGCAAACAGGTGACTGTCTTTAAGAAGAAAGTGGTCTCATCAATAATTCTTCCATCCCAACATCATGGCTTTGAACTTGTAAATAAGAATTTCTAGAACCATGAGAAAGGAATTCCACAGGCAAAATCTTAGTCTATTGCATAGAAGTTCACAAGCTTATTTTTTCTGAAATTCTCCTTTCAAAAGAAAAAAATTCAGTATCTTCACCACCCCCATGCCCCACCACCAGAAATCTATCATCTTTAAGCAAACCTACAGAACTTGCTAATTTCATCTGGTACTATCCCCAATATTTTCAGCACACCTCTGATCTGGTGGTAGTGATTAAGATCCACATTGGGAAAGACTGCTCTATTATATATATTACACATCACATACTAATATATGACATATCATATACTGTAGTATATTTTATATATATATGTATATATATTTGGGGTGGGGGGCTCTGTTCAGAACTTACTCCTGTCTCTACATTCAGGACTCACTCCTGGTGGGCTTGGGATACCATATGGTGTGCCAGCTCTGAGTGAGCTGCATATGTATTATCAGGCTAACTAGTGTGTATTTTTATACTGGCCAAACAGACTATCTCTAAGAACAAGAAATCCGAACTTTAAGCTGATTTCCTATTGGGAACTAAGGTTTAAAATAGAAAGAGGGGGATGCGGTGCCACCAGCAGGTCAATCTGTACGCATGGGGTAAGTGCATCAGCAGCCTGATGGCACCTTCAAGCTTCCTGATATCCCAACATTGCCAGACCCCAACTCTCGGGATGAACTTTTCAGAGAAATTAAATGGCCAAATATTAGGTATGTGGGAGCCACAACCACAAATCACCTTTGACTCAGCGATCCACATTCTTTTATCGCCCTTGCTTCAGAGAACCATAAATAAATCTCAAAAGAGATCAAAAGCTGCAGTTAATCTCAGATCCGTGCAAGACTGAAGAGACTGGGGTTAACCGGAGGGGGGCGCATCAGCCTGGCACCTACCCAAGCAGAGCCACTGGCAGCCATTTGCTTCCACAATCCAAAATCGCTGACATGCCCCCAGCTGGACTCCGT